AATCGGGCCTGTTGACGCTCGGGTGCAGTTCACGTTTCAGATGTTGCGCACGGTAAACTAATGCTCTAGGACGCAGCCTTAAACGTATACCGTACGCAGTGTGCAGCACTTTGCGGACGTACAGCCTTGCGTACACTAAACTAAGATTCTCTATTAGCAACACCAAAAGCGGTAAGCTGATATGAAGCTCTGGTGATCGCCAGGATGTCAGCCCCTGACACTGCTACATGAATCAACTTCAGTTGATGGCGCCTAAGTTCTAAGTTAACTCGACGTGACGGCTCTACCATAGAAGTATATATGTAATGCTTATAAGCTTTGATAGCCAGCAGCACTGCGCCTGCAATAGACTTTTTTGAAGCACACTAGCGCCGCCAACGGGCGCGCAGGCGCTCATGCGAAAAGTTGGTGCGCCGCAGCAGCCGCCGTGACGAGCGTGCGGGCCTCACGCTTCAACTTTCCGTTTGCACCGTGCCAGCGCTTCTCGAATGAGGTGAACTCGGCAAGGTGAGATATATATTACTGCGTGATTCACTCACAAACTTCAGCGTTTAGGTGCGTTTGCCTGTCTACGGTTTGCACTTGTACCCCTGTTCAACCAGTTGAGCGGCTCAGAAGCGTCAGTTAACTATTATTATCCTTTAGAGTCAGTTCGCCTTCGGCGTTAATAAAAAGCAGTACAACTTGGTTGCCTAAAAGGTGCGAGCACTTTCCGTAAATTCGCGGATGCACTAGGAATCAATTTCCTTTGACGCTATTTATGATTGAATTGTACGGTTCTGGTATGTTTAAAGAGTGCTTTAGAAATAACTGGTATTCTGTAAAATAAAATACATTCACTAGATTGTGTGCGCGTCGCCCGCACAATATGCCCATACCAACTTTCCTTGGCACTGTAACTACAGGTTGGTATAAAACTTGCAAGGTGACAAGAAAGAAATAGGACTAGGAAAGAAATATTCACATTGGAAACGCTCACTCACGACTGAAAGAATATTGCACTTGTCAAAAAAATAAGTAAGAATATGTGGGTGCATCGCGAATGTCTCAAGGAGGCACAAAAATGCAAATAACCAACACGCGTGTTCACAGTTGATTAATAAAATTAGGTTTCTTGTGTTGTAACGATAGCGAATGTAACTTGACTTAAACAAAGTGTGGTGTTTTTTTTTTATGTCTCCGAGATTTCTCGCGTCATCTGGTTAGGGTGACTGTGCAAAATTACCAGGCCTTCGAAGATGAAATTGCATGTGTATGACAGAAAATGCGAAGCGCGATAAGATGGCTTCATTCAACGACTTTTGATGCTCTCTGAGGCTCGTGTTGATACATCAAACAGTCTGACCGATGTGTATACATGTGAACACAAAAGGAATTCGGTTGGCAAGTCTTGCACAGCAATTAAACGAACGATTGGCATGCCTCTCATAGTACTTTTCACTGCCCACTGCAGACCCCTGCGACCATTTGCGCTCTATAGAATAAATGGTACTAAGCTTGTGGTGCAGAAAACAGAACCCTCACCTCGTATCGCTTCCCTATTTCATCTCAGACTGTGCAGAACGTATGCATGAAATAACTGCATTATTCGTAGTTTTTTTCGCGCGTGCAAGTTGCCCGCATCAATCTTTGTTTGCACTGCGAATGAACTGTTCACAAACCGATGCAATTTGATAAAGGCAGGACACCGCGCCTTCTTGCAGCTGGAAACTATTTCTCAGGTAATGTGCCCAAGTTTTTTTTCCCCCAGTCAGTGCAGAAAATTCTCCCAGCAAACATGCTCCGCAGATGCACTCAGGCACCTTATAAAAAACCGCACATTATCATGCAGAGTAAAGTATCTCGCATTTGTATTCTAATTCCATCTCTTTGTCTTTAAACATGTTTAGAATGTGTTTACTTCTCCTGCTTACAGCGCGTGACTTGTCCTTAAAAAGTCACAGTTTCGCCAAAATGGCGAAGTAATGAATGCGATAGAACATATTCGAATGTTTTACGAAGCTAGGCTAGCATATTTAGGAGTAATAATAATTGTAGCAAACAAGCGCTTGCAAAGTAGCCAAGTTTCCTGCGGCGTGGCCACAGTAGATGACCACAACATGGCTCGTGCGTAGTGACGGCGTTGATGAGAAGCTCCTCCTGTGGGCAGCGCATGCAGGTACGAGGGGCTATACGTCGTGTGCCGCCGCTGGTGGAAGTTCGTTATGTGTAGAGCACATCTATATGTGGACGGCCGCTCCAGGTACACTTTTGGCACCGTTATTTTTCGTGTTGAGAGCGCAGCCCTGCTATGGGGGGGGGGGGGGGGGGGGGGGGGGGCAAGAGCTGCTCGCTGATCGTTGCCGCGATAGTGCCGCAACGTTAAGAAGCGCACCCCCCCCTCCCCCTTGTTGGCTCACGAGATCACGAGATAAGCCCGCTCACGGAAGACCCCGGCCGGAAAGGTGCAGAAAAAGAAGGATATATATATATATATATATATATATATATATATATATATATATATATATATATATATATATATATATATATATATATATATATGTGTGTGTGTGTTGTGTGTGTGTGTGTGTGTGTGTGTGTGTGTGTGTGTGTGTGTGTGTGTGTGTGAAAGGAATGACGGCGGCGGCGACGGCAAAAACCAGCCGAGCCTCCATGTAAAACAATTCTAGAGCTGTATTTTCTGCAGTCTTGTGTTAACGGCCCAATCAAACCGTAATGTCATCAAAAGCCCTAGCGCTTTATGAGCATTTCATGATTCAATAACTATGGATTCAGCGTTCCTGCTCATATTCCTCACGATAGCTCGCATGTCGCTCATCTTCTACGTTCGACGTACATCCGTCCAGTAATTCCTACACTGACTGTGTTATTAATTTGGTATATATCTGTTAATGAAATGATTCATCTGGCGCACACCATGTTAATAAAACGATCATGATGAATTTGTGGCGTGTGCACGATGTTATTACTGTCATTTACGTCATGTATATATGACATTTGTTTCGTGATGATTAACTTTGTGACCTGTCATTCGTGTCATCGTGCACGTCACGTGATGTGCGTTAGGAAAAGAACAAAGTGCCGCCGAGATGGAGGGAAGACGGTGCACGGAAAAGCGGTTGGCTTTGTCAGTTCTTGTGTACGTCCCGTTGGAACTTTGCTCCTTCTGTAACATCCAACAACAGCTAGAAGTTTTGCGTGTGATCTGCACTCTTAGATATGGAAAGGTAATGAAATTAGCACTATCATGTCATCTTGTCATGTGTAACGTGATGTATATATGGCACGTATGTTATTCTACTTATGACCTCGAATTTCCCTCACGAAGACGTAGGTGATAGATAGATAGATAGATAGATAGATAGATAGATAGATAGATAGATAGACGGACAGATACACGGACAGATAGACGGATGGACAGATAGATAGATAGATAGATAGATAGATAGATAGATAGATAGATAGATAGATAGATAGATAGATAGACGGACAGATACACGGACAGATAGACGGATGGACAGATAGATAGATAGATAGATAGATAGATAGATAGATAGACGGACAGATACACGGACAGATAGACGGATGGACAGATAGATAGATAGATAGATAGATAGATAGATAGATAGATAGATAGATAGATAGATAGATAGATAGATAGATAGATAGATAGATAGATAGATAGATGGATAGATAGATAGATAGATAGATACGGTCGATGTCGCCGAATTTCGCTAGGAAACGCTTCGCATTTAAAAGAAAATAAATGCACTGCAGAACAAAAGCAAATATAACCAACGATAAAAACACATGCGGCTGAATGTGAACCTTTATAAATACGCGAGCATGAAAAACAGGTCCAACAGCATTTGCAATAATACACTGAAGTAGGACACGTAGGAACAAAACCACGTTGAGGAGCGAGTGAATGAACACCCGAAAAGCGTATACGAAATATTGAACAAGATTTCGCCGTTTGAGTGAAACGGTCAACGAAACTAAATCAAGGAAGGTGAACGGATTCGAACAGAATGTGAAAATATATAAGCACACAAGGTAGAACTGGCGCAGCATTCCACCAATTCGATTCGAACAGCTTCTGCACACGGAAGTGAAAGAAATATAGGTACGCGCAGACATTGCTAGCTCTCTGAAAAGAGAGATCGAAAAGAGCTGCGTCACAGATTGTCTTGCACGGCATGTGTGAAAGCACGAACGGATTACGTCGCATGGAAGCTAGTTTCATTTGGCTATCGTTTGAGGAAAGAACTAAAATCAATATGCGTGCGTTTTGACTCGTGTCCTTACAATCGTCTTATACTGTGCTTCTATCACGTTATACTTGCGCTAATATACTGCAAGTAACTAGTGAAGCCCACTCTAATGTTACTGTTTACAATACTTTAAAGCATTTGCAGTCGGTGCAGTTTCCTGCGTGATTCTAGAGTAGGAAGTTTGCCTAAACGTCTAAGGTTAGTTGTAGACACATGCCTACCGTAGGCGTTGAAGGTGAATCTGAGTGCTTTTCTTAACGGGTTCAAAGCAATCGATATCACATTTGTTGTGCGGGTCCCAAGCTGCGCCCGCATATTCTAATAATTGTCTAACTGATGTCGTGGAGGCCACAAGCTCATTTCAGGGAGTGCAAACCATCGTGCGATTTTCTAGCATGTAAAGTTATCTCAAAGCCTGGGAAATGATGTTTGAAACTTTGATTCTGTTATCAAAGAAATGTGTCACGCTCATAGCGCAGATAAGCGTTTTACGTGAAAACAACGAACTGAGAAAGTTCTGCGCAGCAGCAGGAAATTGATATACCGTTTCCGGGCTCTAGCGCTGCGGTCGACGGTATAGCTGGCTGGCGCGGACGGCCAGTTTGGCACGTGCTCGCTTGGTCTGTAAACTTTTGCAGTTGACTGTAGGTATTTATGCATGTATGTGCGCTATGCAATGCAATCGCAACGCTAAATCGCCGGCTGACGTGATGCGGCGCGCAGGCTCTGGACTTCCGCGACCTGCCACCGGGAGCTGCCAGCGCGCCATCTCGTGCCCGTTTCCGTGCAGCTGCGTGGACGGCGTGGTCGACTGCCGCGACAAAGGTCTCACGGCGCTGCCTCAGCACATACCCGAAACGACTACTGAGCTGTGAGTGCACTTTCGACGGGGCCCCTAAACCACTGCGAGGGCTAGATAATGGTCTATATATTTCTTCCTGCTTGTTTGCAAGACAGGTGAACAATATGAGTAGCGTGAGTTCCGCCTATCATACATGGTATGTTAGCAGTGGCGGTTTGCGGTAAGTACGGAATTATCGACGTCATTTTAAATCGACATCGCATGTGTTAGCCACTGTAATCGTCTCATAAGCTTACTGTACGTATCGAGCAACTCGCATAGCTATAAATGTTCAGCAAGGGGTGAATTTAATACCGCTGTCCCACGGGCGCCAGCGAACTCCGTTCACCTCTATGCATGTGTAAAACTTCATGAGTAAGTTCGATGTAGATTCAGTTGAGCTTTCACGAGCTTTGGCCAGAAGCCGCAAGGCGCCTTTTCGGTGCTGCTGTCGTTTGTACGCAAGGTTTTCTGTCTAATCTCGCTGAAAGCGTTCTAAATCGTACCACGGCCGCAGCGGTTGTGATCGATAAAAACTGCATTTTATTCGGGACAAAAATATTGCCTTGGTTTTTGTCACAGAAGCACGTACCATGTTTCGGTGGTAAAGTATGTAGTTAGCGTAAACATTATTGAGAATTAACTAACAGAAAATGATGCAAAGGAAAGTAAAGGCTATGCTGTCAGTTGTAATTGTGACGTAGTAAATGTGACGAAAGAAAAGTGGAGGAAAAAATACCTTGCCGCTGGCAGAGACGGAATCTACAACCTTGCAATAACGCGCCCGATGATACATCACTGCGCTACGGCGCGCCCCGTCCACTTTATTGGGTGTACATGCCTGTGCATTCAAACTTGGGAGCGTCAGTCAGCTCCGCTAGTAGCCATGAGGGGAAGTAATAAATGCTATGTGTCTGCCTGTAATTGTCATAAGATCACGTGTAGCACGTGACCTTATTACGAGCTGGCCAATAATTATTCGCACGTACACTATACCTGAAGTTGTCAAGTCCGCGAGAGGGGACATTGGCTATCAATGAAGGAAAGAAGTGGAAACTTAATGGCTTGCTATTCTTTTTTAGACACGATAATAATGAGAACTAACAATGATACCAACGGAAGTATACGGGATGTTATTAGCAGTAAAATGTGAAGAAAAAAAAGCAACGGACGCATTGTTCGAAAGTCGCAGTTTCGGTCCTTGCTAGTGAGTGCCAAGTTATCTTTTCGTTACTTCTCTTTCTTCGCATTTTCATTAATATTCATCATCATCATCATCATCAGCCTGACTACGTCCACTGCAGGACAAAGGGCTCTCTCATGTTCCGCCAGTCAACTCGATCTTGTACTTGCTGCTGAGACTTTATACCCACCAACTTCCTAATATCATTCGCCCATCTAACTTCCTGTCTCCCCCTAGCCCGCCTGCCTTGTATTTAACATTACTTACTTTACATTAATATTACATTGATACTATTTAGCAGTAATATCTCCTGTGCTTTTGTTGGCATCACCGTCTGTTAGTTCACAATAATATTGTGTCTAACGAAGAAAATCGAGCCCTTATGTTTCCACCTCTTATCGGAAACGTGCATAACGGAAGCGTGTTGGCAGCAGTGTTCGGAGCGACTCACACAGGTCTCGCGTTGATTCGATGAGGTCCTATAATGACATCGACGTAGAAATGCAGTTTGAATGCTCGCAACGCACGCCGCGGCTGCGTACTTTCGAACATGCCGGACCGGAGAAATTGGGCCAGAGTACTCCTGCTGCCAACTTGCGGAGAAGGGGTGGCAACTCTAGTACTTTTTGTTACACGGGCGGCGCGTTGGCGAAGTGGCGCCGTTTGGCCACCTCTCCTATTCCACTACCGTGAGCAGTACACTGTACTGTGAGCGTACTACATGAAAATTAGTGTTGCTAGCACTCCTGTCAACAATACTGCCAACATTCCTGGTATATGAGGCAAAGCATTTATTTTATTTTGATTACAATACATTGCCCCGCCGTGGTGGTCTAGTGGCTAAGGTACTCGGCTGCTGACCCGCAGGTCGCGGGTTCGATTCCCGGCTGCGGCGGCTGCATTTCCGATGGAGGCGGAAATGTTGTAGGCCCGTGTACTCAGATTTGGGTGCACGTTAAAGAACCCCAGGTGGTCAAAATTTCCGGAGCCCTCCACTACGGCGTCTCTCATAATCAAATGGTGGTTTTGGGACGTTAAACCCCACAAATCAATCAATCAACAATACATTATAGTTTTATAATCATACTCATTACGTGACGCATGTGCGGGACTAGGAAGAAGGAGAAGAAGTGAGTAGAGTGAAAGAGGAAGATCTCTAAGCAGCTTTCTCGCCATCCTAGCCTTCTATTATCCAATCCTACATGTCTACTGTTGACATAATAATGTAACGTACGATGGAGAATGAATTCAGCGTGATTAGACGCGTAATCTTTCATATAGATATGTACAGCTGTTCCAAAAGTGAAACGGAGCGTGCGAGTGGTGGCCGAGCTATAGTGAATACCAGCGCGCTCTACCAGAGTTCTTTATTTTTATGAGAAAATGATGGCACTGTCCGCTGCCCCATTTCAGTATAAATGTAAAGAACTACCTTTATGGTGGAGCGCGCTGCTATTCACTTTTGCTTAGCTCGGCCACAACTCGCGTGCTCAGTTTAACATTTGAAGCACCTGTATTCGCAACGGCGCCTATTGGACCCTTAGCGGTGTTTCTTCAAAGTCTGTAAATTTACTCTTGACATGGTCACAACTTCATCTCCATCGAACTCTTTAATCTACTTTATGGTTATATAGTTTAATGCAGTTCGCTGGTGCCCGTATGACAAGTGTAACTGTAATATCGTGGCGTAAACAGTATGCTATTTCTGTAGCTCCTAAAACCTAGTTCTATGAATTGTTCGTTTGCTTGTTGCCTGTGAGCACTATAAGTTATATGAACGTGTAGCATTTTTCGTCTTCCCGCTATTATCTCGCGCATCGGCATTCGGAAATCACAACAAATGGCGACATCAGTTCATCGCGCACTACAGTCATCCGTGTCAGCGAGGAAGCAGGCGAGTGCTTGACAAAACGCGCGTGGTACGCTTAAGGCCTGACCACATGCATCCGTTGCACCGCGTCAGCGCGTGGAATTTTGACGCGGCGCCGTGCCCTCTCCTTATAAAGAGAGTGGGTGCGCAGTTTCGCGTAGCTACGCACCCCCCTCTCTTTCTCCATGGACAGGGCGCGGCGCCGCATCAGAAAGCCCCGCGTTGACGCGCTGCAACAGATCAGTCGCGCCTAAGGCCAGACCTGTGGTCTGGCCTTAGGCGCGACTGATCTCTTTGTACACGCTCCGCTCGAAAGGTAGCATGCTGGTGACATCACACGAAAGAGTCCTGCTTCGTTAAGAAATGTGTTGAAAAGAAAACAAACACGGAAAGAAAGGTGGTTTTTTAATAATTGTTGGGGTTTTATGTCCACAAAACACTACATGTGATCACGAGGGACGCCGTAGCGGAGCACTGCGAAAATGTTCACCCCTTGAGGTTCTTTAACGCGCACCAAAATGTCTGTACTCGGCCCTCAAGCATTTTCGCCTGCCTCGAAATACGCCTCTGCGGCCACGATTTGATGCTGCGACCTTAAGGCACGATAATTCCTCGTGTTTTCAAAAATCGTAATGGGACTGTGAAGGCAACTATTATGTCGACGTTGATTGTTAAAATGGCGGTCCAGAAACCTCGTAATGTTACTTTTGTGCTAAGGAAGGGCCTATTTTGAAATAAAATCACGTTTTAGTAGTGCGCATCAGTTTAGTGCGCTTCAAATTACCCGCCTCAAGAAATGGACCGACTTGCGTCACTGTTCCCGTACACAACGTTGCCCGGCTTTACTGTGCTAGTAGCAGCAGCAGATCGAAAGCAGCGGGAGCCACAGCAGCAACAGCGACCATTAATCGATTTTCCGTCATTGAATGAGATTTCAGACGTTTCTTGTTCCAACTGCGCTCTGTTAGATGGCATCACCTGTTCCGTGTAACCCCGCGAGAATTCAATTTTTGAACCACTCGCGCCATTTCTCATAGTAACGTCCGGCGGTTTCTTTTTTCCATGGATCAAACAGAAACGAACTGGTAGCATTTTATTGCGTCTCTTGATGCACGGAAGATTCTTTATTTAGGGCAGTTAGATTGATTACTAGTCATTAATTGTAGGCGGTCCGTCTGATGTCATCGGGATCGTTTTGAAAGTGCCCTACAGCGGCGCTTGCGTTCTTGTGCATTTACCTTAATTTCTCGGTAAGTAGGGCACTGTTGGTGATAATATTGTCATTTTAGAAGCTGTCATACATTGAGATTTCACTCTGACATAAATTCTTATTTGACTTCAGTGTCCCTTTAATGGTGAGGTTTAGTACTGCGTGCGTTGCGTTCATAACATCGTTTCTATAGAAGAACTCCGCGTTTCACATGGTGCTGGTGCGTAGTGGATCTGCGCAAGCTCACTATACGAATCGTGGCTACTGTGTAACGTGGCTATTTTCGCGTACGCGGCGCCGTTACCGTACGCAACTCACGCTGTACTAACACTCGCTAATGCTGTTGCCTTGGAAACTGTTCAAACAGTTGTGCACGCACACTTTCGTACAGCCACGTGCGCGTCTATGTATATCGCGCGAGCAGCCAGCCTTGCTCTGCGGGGCGACACCTTGTGGCATGTGCGAGCTCTGAGGTGTTGTGCCCAGGAGCATAAGCGGCTTAACACATGCTGACCTGCTTTGCACGATTGGCAACGTTGAAAGGTGTGCTTGTTTAACCGAAGATGCACGCTTTCTAATGTTGCTTTAAACACTTCGATTATAAAAGATTACGAGTTTCGACTGATAACTCGCTCACATTCAAGCGCGAGTCATCAGTCAAAACTGGCAGTCTTTTAGAATCGAGGTGTCTAAAACGCCATTATGAAGCGTGCATCTTCGGTTAAACAAGCACGCCTTTCAACGTTGACGCTCGTGCAAAGCAGCATGTATTAAACCGCGCATGCTTCTGTGCACAACACCTCAGATCTCGCACATGCCGCAAGGTGTCGCCCCGCAGAGCAAGGCCAGATACTCGCGCGATATACACAGATGTGGACGCTGCTGTACGCTGCATTCCACGGGCTTAACATGAACTTGCCGTGATTTGTTTTGCAGGCGGCTCGAGCAGAACCAGATCACGGAAATACCTTCACAAGCCTTTGCGCACCTTAAATGGATACGTCGAATGCAAGTAGAGCTGTCTAGTGATCTCATACGGCCACCCGTGAGAGAACGCGTTCCAAAAGTGTCTTGTTTCCTTTTTCCCTCTGCAGTGATCTCAGCAGCAATGACATATCCAAAGTAGCTCCTGATGCTTTTAGTGGACTCAAGTCATTGACATCATTGTAAGTGAACTTTACAGCTTGTGCACTCATTTTGACGAATAGTTCAATTTAATCACCACCTTGATTTCGCAGGGTCCTGTACGGGAACCGGATATCTGATCTTCCTCCCGGGATATTTCATGGCCTTACCTCACTCCAACTGCTGTAAGTCATGAACACATATTTGGCATGCCAGTTTTATTGGTGAGGCAGCATTTTGAAGTATACAGGCTTGTGGAAATACACGCAGTGCGTGACTGGGTATCTCTTTTCTGAGTAATCTCGTGGCGCCGCGTGGGCTCATTTTAGAGGAAATGAATCAGTTTCGACGGATAAATTACGCTACGAAATTTGCGGTGCCGGTAATCGCACCATAGTATAGAGGAGGAAATCGAGGCTCATGTTTGAATGTCGCGCCAAAATCTTTCACGTTTTCTCGCTTACCAAGCGTCTTCTCGTGACAAGCATGGGACCTCGGCATTCTGTAAGAGTAAATTACTACTACAAGCATTATTTTCTTCAGTGTCCCTTTGAAAAACTGTTCCCGCGTACAGTGTTGTCACGCCGAACTTGTTCCATAGAAACCTGTTATGTTGCAATATCATTGACAAGGAATAACGTTAAGGCCTAAAGTTGGGTTAGTTGGTATTGAACGCAAATTGACGTGATTACTTAGGCCTATTGTACTGCGAAAAAACTACAGTGCTACGCAGCTTCTCGACGACAACGCAGGTAGAGAATGAAATATATTGTCACGGAGATGATGCTATAAAAGGAAGAAATCTATATACAAAATATACAGGGAGAAGCGTTAACAGCTGCAGCCAAGACGGCAGAACAGCTACCATTGACACGAGTGCTATTGAGATCGTCGTCTTCGTTGCCTTTCTTGTGCATTCTTGTTCCTGCCGTCTAACATATAACCCCCGTCGTCTGGTAGCGCCGTCGGCGCCAAGGAAAGTGTACGAGCGTGTGTGGGATGTGTGGTTTTAGACAAGAGACGCGTATACAATGTAAGTAGCGGGGCTGGACGACAAAAAATTACTGTCCAATTGGAATACTTCATACGGAACATCGGTGATCTGCCGCAAGACCTTTAAAAGCTCGGAGTTTAGAGAGAAGATTTGTGGCGAGGCCAACGTGCCGGCAAGATTTTCATAAGAGGACCAGAGAGCCTGGAGAGTAGGGACTACTCTGTGTTTGCTGTCAGTGGGCTTTCTGAGACCGCTGCGAGGCAGAAGGACGATCCCGTGCCATCTGGCGGGCCACTTCAGCTCGACCATCAGCATCGCGGCCGTACTCTGTCAGAGCGTGCGTGATACAAACAGAAGATAGATGGGAGAAAAGCCAGTGGTGTCGTACCGTGACGAATTGTACGCGAACGTCAAGTACGGGTAAAGGTGAAAATTATGTCCCAATCACGGTGATCTGCGAAAACATACATGGAGAGCATTGTTGTCAAAGTTCGATTGAGGCGCTTGGTAAGACTATTGTATGCGGGTGGTAGGCCGTAGTGAGCTTGTCACGCGTTGAACACGAGCGAAGGATGTCGCGGACAGTTTTTGAAAAAAAAATGAGCGACCACGATCGGTCAGCAGCTGCCGAGGAGCGACGTCGTAGTGCAAAAACTCCGGGACCCCGCACTGTCTTTCGGTAGTGCGCTCGTGATAGTGTATCGCGTCGCGTAGTCAGTACAGCAATACATTTGTCCCCAGCCAGAGGCGTTGGAAATGGTCCAGAAAAATCGGTAGAAGGGAACGGTGTGGGTGTCTATGGGTTGAAGAGGACCTGCTGGCGACAAGGTAGAATTCTTATAGCGCTGGCAGGGCTGACAAGCAGAGACGTAGTGACTTATAGGGCAGTAAAGGCCTGGCTAGAAAAATCAATGCCGTATATATAAGTGGTTATAACAGAAGAAAAGAAAAGTGCCGACCCGTAACTGTCTCTTTTTACAAGGACACCTCAACAGGTCAGCGCAGGAATGGGGTATGTGGAATAAAAGATATAGGGAGGGAAAGATTGGAAAAGAGAAAAAAAGAAAGGTGAGGGTCATTCGATCTGTTTCCCGCAACGGACTCACAAGCCCCCACGCGCCATGCGCAGCTTACTAGGAAAGCTCCCAAGGGCCGGAGAGGTATCGTCATCGAGAGAAGGACAACGGGTTGGATTGGCGCGTCGTAGAATGGGAGTGATGCACTCGCCGAAGCGCGTAATCTCTGTACGGAAAAAAATTGTGGTCTGTAGCACTCACTGATACGAGTCCGATGGACCTCGATGGGGAGGCACTAATGTCCCTTCAGTTCACAAGCGCTCAAATAGCGCAGGTGTCTTCAGGAAGGTGATGAGGGCAGCTTGCGTGCGCTTCACCAGGCATGCATGTGTACGCTATCATACATCCGGGTTGCTCCGAGTTGTCGAGTGGTTGGAGCTCAAGAACAGCGCTATGAAGTGTTGCAGGAATTACAAATAGCAGACTTGACCCCTCGAAACTGGTGTTGCGTCGGTAAAGATTGCCATCTCGTGGCACGAACGAATTGAGCGATGGGACCGCGTCGTGAAAGCGTAGACGGTGCATGATAGACCGCTGGTGGACAATGCTGAGGTGTTCCTTGTATATGGCGGTCAAGTCAGATATGGCGACTGCACAGGCGTTGGAATCATGGGCTGACAAGTCACGGGGGCCTACAGGATGACTGGATAAACAGTCGGAATCCTGCTGCATTCGGTCAGACTTGTATATCACGTCAAAGCTGTGTTCTTCATGTTTTAAGACCCAGCATCCAAGTCGTCTAGTAGGGTCCTTCGGGGGCGACTACCAGCACATTGCATGGTGAGCAGTATAATTATGTTTACTAAAGGGGCAATCGAACAAGCATGGTCGAAATTTTCAGACTGCCCAGACTAGTATGAGTAACTCACGCGCAGTGGTGGAATGCTTGCACTCCGAAGAAGAAAAGAAGGCGACTGGCATAGGCAATGACGCGATCCAGTCCTTGTTGCTGCTGAGCGAGAACAGTGCCGATACCATCTCCGCTGGCGTCGTAGCGAACTTCAGTAGGGGCTGAGGGGCAAAAATGGACCAAGATTGGTGGTGTCTAATCTTGTAAGTGTGCTGAACGCAGTTGCTTGGTGCTAAACCCCAATAAAACGGCACCTCCTTATTCAGTAGTTCTGTGAATGGTCGGGCAAAGTCGGCATAGTTCTTGACGAGACGTCGAAAGTATATGAACGCAGGCCGGCGAAGTTGCGTACTTCTTTCGCGGAACGTGGTACGGGAAAAATTTTTGTCAACACGAATCTTGTCGGCATCAGGTTGGAAACCTCGAGCACTGACAAGGTGGCCCAGCATGCTGATTTCCCGGCGGCCGAAGCGGCATATCGAAGAATTGGGCGAAAGTGCTGCAGGTCTTAAAACCTCAAGAACAGCCTGGGCTCTTTTGGGTCCGATACCGCGTAGCTCTACGAAACGCTGGGGAGAGATGCTCTTTTCGCGGTCTGTTCGCGTCAAAAGTGTAGTACGTAGAAGGGTTTACAAGCCGTGGCCGCTGATGCCTGTCGAGATAAAGCGGGTGCGGCCATCGCGACCGCGCCGGAATCAAAGTACCCTCGCATTGACGGGAATAGGCCGACTCGTTTGATCTAAGACATAATATATTACGCGCGACAAGTCTTTACGAATACCGACTACTATAGTCATTCTGTTTCGGTTCTGACAGTATCAAATCCTTCTTGAAATATACGTCACGACTTAAGTACTTAAAAAGTGACTCGTGCACTCGAAGCAAAGACCTCTTATCCGTATACCATACAGGCGCAGAGATAATCTCGTGCAGGCATTGAGGTGAGGCATAGCCTACCTTCGTTATTATAAGTGAATTGGAAAGGGAAAGATTTATTCCAAATACTTTGGCGCGCAAATAAATTCGAGAACACTTTGTAAGTACTAATGAAGGCATAAACAAAAAATAGTTTTTACGTTTTCTCGTTTTTTTAAATATATTTCGCCCTCAGTGCTTCAATACAGTTTATTATGCCAATGTACATCACAGCCATGTTTATACTAGTGATTTTTTAGCGCTGTAACTACCGCTGTTTTTTATGTAAATCAATTCATTTTGACATTTCATCTCACTAAATGCGTTAGATTTCTATTTTTATAAATATGATGTGTTTGTGAGTGGTATTTATTGTTACATTTTTAATTACATTAAAATTGTGTATTTTTCTTCTCCGGATATATACTGAAACCGTGTATGTAGTTTTGATGTTGCTGCTGGGTATTTCCAAGTAAGATCGAACAAAGCGTGACTGGCGGACCTCTAAAATTTCTTTCAAAATTTTACGTATTGGTACGTTATTAGTGGAGATAAGAAATCTGTAATTGGTTTTCCTGTAAAAATTGTTTTTCGAAGCACAGTAAATCAATGATGACGAAGAGGTGGAGTGCCACGCTTACCTGCTCTGCTGTTGTAGTTTTTTTTCTCTAATTTAACGATGAATTGCCCAAAATATATTAACGCTGCGTACTTGAAAATTCGTTAGCCAAAATACAGACGTGCTAGTGCTTACGTGCAGTTATATTTCGAATCTATGCATAGTGTAGATTTTTTAATGAAAATTCTGAAATTCGACCTGGGAAATGTCTTTGTTTATTGCTTAGTTTGCAGGCCTTTATTCCAAAAAGGGACTGTGACGGAGCGGTTGAAATTCCGCATTACTTTCTTAGCATGCTTATTTATAAAATTGTCAATGTTTATATTATTAATGCCTTTCAGTCAAAATATATAGTCGCGCTAAATTTAAGAAAAGAGCATGCAATTGAAACTTCTGACGACAATTAAAAAAACGCATTTTGATGTTTTTTATACTCTCTCCACTTATTTTCCTGCATATCACCTTTCACAATCAATAAAAACATGTGGCATCATATGGTTTCACTTCCAGTTACGGCCCATCAAAAAATGCCCTTGCGCAAAGCCTGCAATGGTAGATCGGGCTTTCTGCCCGTTAAGTATGGAATGCAGGCCTATACCTTAGTGTCTTATAAGGCAAACAGCTCTGAAATAGCTGTCGACTGCACTGAGGACGCCAATTTTGAAATGGTTTGTTAACGGGAGTGGCCATGACTGCGGGATTACCGAGCAACCAAGCGCGCACAGTCCGGC